TGGTGGTGGTGATAGTGATGGTGGTAGTGGCAGTGATGGTGGTGGTGGTGGTGATAGTGATGGTGGTGATGGTGATGGTGGTGGTGATGGTGGTGATGGCAGCGATGGTGATGATGATAGTGGTAGTGATGGTGTTGGTGGTGATGGTGGTGGTGGTAGTGATGGTGGTGGTGGTGGTGGTGGTAGTGATGGTGGTGGTGGCAGTGATGGTGGTAGTGGTGGTGATGGTGATAGTGATGGTGGTGGTGATGGTGGCAGTGGTGGTGGTAGTGATGGTGGTGGCGGTGGTGATGGTGGTGGTGGTGGTGGTGGTGGTGATGGTGGTGGTAGTGATGGTGGTGATGGTTATGGTGGCAGTAGTGGTGATGGTGGTGGTGGTGGTGTTGGTAGTGATGGTGGTGATGGTGGTGGTTGTGATGGTGGTAGTGATGGTGGTGGTGGTTGTGGTAGTGATGGTGGTGGTGGTGATGGTGGTGGTGGTGGTAGTGGTGGTGGTTGTGATCATGGTACTGATGGTGGTGGTGGTGGTGGTGGTAGTGATGGTGGTGGTGGTGGTGATGGTTGTGATTGTGGTAGTGATGGTGTTGGTGGTGGCGATGGTGGTGATAATGATGGTGGTGGTGATGATAGTGGTAGTGATGGTGGTGGTGGTGGCAGTGATGGTGGTGGTGGTGATGATGGTGGTAGTGATGGTGGTGGTGGTGATGGTGGTGGTGGTGGTGGTAGTGATGGTGGTAGTGATGGTGGTGGTGGTGGTGATGGTGAAGGTGGTAGTGATGGTGGTAGTGGTAGTGGTGGTGGTGGTAGTGGTAGTGGTGGTGCTGGTAGTGATGGTGGTGGTGGTGGTGGTAGTGATGGTGATGGTGGTGATGGTGGTGGTGGTGGTGGTAGTGATGCTGATGGTGGTGGTGGTGGTGGTGGTGGTGGTGATGGTTATGGTGGCAGTAGTGGTGATAGTGGTGGTGGTGGTGGTGGTGGTGGTAGTGATGGTGATGGTGGTGGAAGTGATGATGGTGGTGGTGGTGCTGATGGTGGTAGTGATGGTACTGGTGGTGGTGATGGTGGTGGTGGTGGTGCTAGGGATGGTGGTGGTGCTAGTGATGGTGGTACTGGCAGTGATGGTGGTAGTGGTGGTGATGGTGATAGTGATGGTGGTGGTGGTGGTGGTAGTGATGGTGGTGGAGGTGGTGATGGTGGTGGCAGTGGTTGTGGTAGTGATGGTGATGGTGGTGATGGTAGTGGTGGTGGTGGTAGTGATGGTGGTGGTGGTGGTGGTGGTGGTGATGATTATAGGGGCAGTAGTGGTGATAGTGATGGTGGTGGTGGTGGTGGTGGTAGTGATGGTGGTGATGGTGGTGGTTGTGATGGTGGTAGTGATGGTGGTGGTGGTTGTGGTAGTGATGGTGGTGGTGGTGGTGGTGGTTGTGATCATGGTACTGATGGTGGTGGTGGTGGTGATGGTGGTAGTGATGGTGGTGATGGTGGTGGTGGTGGTGGTG